TAGTTTCCCCAACACATTAACCGTATGGATATAACTTTGTGTATAATATTATGGTGTACACCTATACCTATACGTAAAGCTGCAACGGACCATGATGTATATGTAGATTGAATATTTTGACTGCACGAGGTGTTTGACTCGTGACCATCAAGATGGCGGTATCGATTTACCTCCCGCCCCTACCAGACGATGTCCCCTGAAGGGAAACTCGCGCTGTACGTACGATCGCTTCGTAATATTCGGTGCTTACAAGAGTCTCGCGGCGGCGGCAGTGCGCTAATATACGCACCGCGCACACGACCCGCTTTCTGTGAAGAGTAATAGAAAGAGCACACGGCCGTGAAGGAAGGAGGGAGGAAGAAGAGGCAACCGGTTCTCTGGTGTGGTTTTTTATTTATTTATTTTTTTTTTTTCATTTTTATTTTTATTTTTACGACTACACCGACGACGACGATCATCGATCCGTGTGTGCTCGGCCGCGCGTGCGTACGCGTCCACGATTTATCGTGCAGTCGTTCCCACGCCCACGCCCGCGTGTTCATGTACATACTGCCCAGCCGAACTATACGGTCGTCACCGTGCTGGTGCCGTCCAATATGGCCGGTGAAAGCAGCCGTGGTCGAGACTTACAATTGTGCTTGCGAACTGCAACATCAGACGCTTGTAAAAAAGCTTATGCACGCGCATCTCATCACAATAGGGTGTGTCATTTCTGTGTACAAACCGTTCTGCCGATTAATCATCGTATGCATCAGTCTGTGTAAACACATACAATGTATGATTCGCACACATCTCTTTCTAAAACCGTATCAAATACATGCATGTGTGTGTAATATGAATGTGCATAATACGCACGTAAAGATTAACAGAATTTTCAGAACATCATGGTATACATGATTTAGTTTTAGGTATTCACTTAGTGGATAAAATTAAAAAATAAAAAACACATGTAACATGTTAATACACATTTGTAAATTAATAAAATATGATACAAAATATTAAAATGTCCAGTTACTATTTTTTAATTGGTGCTGTACTATATATTGCATCCTCGATGTATTTATTCGTTAGACCTTTGTTTTTCACTATTTTGACTAACTCGTTATGCGATATTTATTTAACTGACACTTAATTTTTTTAGCTCCTCGATTTGATGTATAACAAACAAAGATTATTGTCAAGTAATCAAAAAATAAGAAATAAAAAAATTGAAAAGTTTATTTACATAGCAGCCGCCATATGTACAATACTATAATACAATTATTATATAAAATATCTTGTTACACATTTAATTTTGAACAATTAGAACTTAATTTATACATGATGGTGTTTATTATTATTTATTATTCATACATAAACATTTCGTAATATGAACTATAGTATATATTATAAATAGCATTGAAATATTTTGTTAATACTTGTGTTGTTTTAAAATATTTACATAAAATTATATATAAGTAATTTAATTTAAATAAACATATTTATTGAATTTATTAAGAATTTTCAACTGAGGGTATAATAATAGTAATTTATAGGTATTAACCATAAAAGAAAAGTTACAAGTATGAAACATTCATACACCGAAAAAAAAATTGTATGTTAAATTTAAGAACCGTGAGAAACAAGTCAATCACTTAATGCTATTTATGGATTCTAGTCAGTTATGTGGTATTCGAATTCATTAAACATATATTTTATTGATCGATATATAGAATATAAGACTGTTCCCGTGTACTCAATTACAAAGCGCATCCTATGAGGTCGAACGAGGTATATTTATCCATTTTTCATCGAATCACAGTTGCTATTTTCTTTTATAAATAACTTTAATCCATTAATCTTTATAGACGTTCCGAACCTTTATTTCAACCCGAAGATACATGTATCTTTTGCCCATTAAATTACAAAATATTTAAAAGAACGTACAATAAAATTGTATTTTGACAGTCACTTCGTAATTTGTATCACTACAATCAATAATCTTTACCATATTATGTCAAAAATATGCTAAAATATGAAATTCTAGTTATTTTCTAAGCATAATGAACGTATATGTTGTGCATAGTTTAATAGTATTCGATATCTTTCCTATACGCTCGCGCGCGCACACACACACACACACATGCATACATACCTATAGATACTGAGATACCCATGAAAATTAATATGTAATAACTTGAGTGTGAATGGCATGCTGTTATTGCATACTACGATAGTAGTGTTCATTACGTACACGATAAAAAAAAAATTAATGAAATATTTTTTTTCTCAATGAAATTTGAAACCACGGTTTTTTTTGTCTCTTGGAGTTTGGATTTCCTTTCACGTCAATACTTGTAACGCAACTAGATATATCGAAGTTGTACATTATAAGAATCATATAAATATCCTTATGCTGATCGGGAGTAAAACAGTGAATTTTAAGTACGACAAGTGTAGTAATAAAATAAACCGTAATATTAAATCGTACAACAATTATCGGGTAAAAAAAATTAATGTTATGTCACGCATGCGAGATATTACGTACGTAGTAGGTACGTGATATTGCTAGGAGATTGGTATCTGCAGCGCAACGGTTGTCTGCAACCCCGTGTGCACTTATGCATGTAACGTGGGTACGCGCGCGCGCACCGGACAGTAGAGAGACTTGGAGCCGCGTGTCTAGACGTCCACAGGTGTGCGGTACGCGTTGGTGACGCATGTAAAACGCCAATACGCTACACACGTACGCCCTGGAAACGAACTATTCGTACGGTGAAATAACGAGACCGGACAGCCGTGAACGCTGCCGCGATGAAGGATACCGACGGGGCATGCGTACGACAGACGGAGACGGAACGAGGAACGTGTACGCAGGCACAGACAAATGAACAAACAACGCGTAATAACAATGTTATCGGCTTGTCGGTTTGCATTGTTGACTAGACACAAACATGGGCACGAGCCCGAATATTTTATATTTTATTTATATACAGAGGACGTAGATAAAAAAAAAAATCCAATTAAACGCGGAGAGAAAAAAAGTTTTTTTCTGCTGTTCGTTGCAAATTTCGATATTTTTTCACCTAATTTAATTAAACAATAGCGCAAACTTAATCTTTTAATTTTTTTTTTCACAGCTCATTACGATTGATAAGCAACCCATTATATACGTCTGTACGTATACACACTATAATAATACGAGTATATTTTTATATTATATGCTTCTGCTAAATCGTTTCGAAAACAATGCGACGCGGCGTACCGACGACGACGACGTGCCTTTCGACTTCAACGACTACCAGAGATCGGATTACACATACTAACGGATACGCGCGTGCGTATTATACAGGCCATATGTACCTTATCGGTAATCCTTACCGTCCATGTACAAGACAAGCTGCCGAAAACTGTAATCATCATAAAGGCGTACACATGTGTACGTATTGTAACGCCGAAATCGATAAACCAGAAGATGGCCAGACTGCCGGGCGTCGTCTTTGCGCCGTTGACCGAAAGAAAAAAAAAACGCGCTCGGCGGCAGCGTCGCAGATATACGACACGATATAATGGTCCGCGGTCTCAATACGTATAACGAATAATTTGGTTGTCACGTATAACATTTATTGCACGCGACATTAAATTGGTTTTTAACAAGACTTAAAATAATATGAATAATGCAGTCTGATTTTACAAAGAAGATTTAATTTCTCGTCGATAATATAATAACTATCGTTATGTTAATGACAATGAGCACCTCCGAAGTATTATCGTTTCTTTATACATAAAATGTATATTATGTGAGTAATTGATAAACAAGTACAAATTTCATTGCGTTCATCGTAAAATATATAAACATAGTGTACGCTTTCATTGACTATGTGTAATTTCTTTATGGCACTCAACGTTATCGTTCGTGGCCAATATAATATAATATGTCACAGCCGACGACGGCATCGACAACGTGGTGTCATCCAGTTGTTGTAATAACTATATTATAATGTTATTGGGAACGGAGACGCGTGTCAGAACTGACAGAATCTCAATATTGTTACGCAAAGAACCCCCGATGAGTTATCACCAGGGATGCACGGGGGTGCGGAGACGCCGACAAATTTGGGTCAAGGTGACACTACGCGTACGCTTCGTGTTTGCGGGTAGTACGTGTGCAAGAACGTATATAACCAGGTATTTCTCAAAAGGTAACAGTAACTTACAAATTCCGAAAAAAAAAACGCGGGAGTTGTCGGAAAATAAATTTATAGTGATTCACTTGTACGTAAGAGATAATGAACTAGTTTTCGATAACTATTAAACTTGCGTCCGAAAGAATTTCTGGTGTACGTATATATTATACGGAACAAAATATATTGTCGTTGATAAAAAAAAAAATATAAAAAATTTAAAAAAAGTACTACTTATTGAGATATAAAAATATGTTCATTAAATCAATTGTAGCTGATACACGAAAAATATGTTTAACATTTATATATAATAGTTAAGAACTTTACAAGGTGTATATACCAAAATATGGATTTTTTCAACAAATTTTGATGCATATACATCTCATTTTCTATGTTTATTAGTTTATTGCTTGTTTAGTATTGTCTTATCAGCACGAAAATATAAACCAATTTAACTTTGTATAAGAACACATAATATTTTTTTTTGTTAAATAATAAATAGGTATTATGAATGCTATTAAACGATATTGGGCGTTTGCCATAAATAGGAACCACAAACAATTATTATATTTGTACAGTGTTCGATTACGTTAAATTATATGCTTTTGGAGCAATATTTAGTGCATGCAGTATATTGGGCTGAAAGTCCAAATGGGTTAATTTTTCTCGGGTTTCACTTGACGGGTTAAAACACGATTTTATTTTTTCTCTGATTAGGTTAATGGGTTAAAAGCGTTGGGTACTTGTTTTGTAGTTTACAATACAATATACTTATAATCGGAGGGATACTTTGTATATTATGTTATGGATGATATTAAAGAATAATTCGCCTTCTACCTGGGTCATTAGTCGGTCAGCACCGGTGCCCTCGTCGTCTTTGAACTCGATGTCCGCGTTGTAGTTGGGCACCAGCTCCATGAACCTGGAGTCGTTGCGCTGGACCCGTCCTTCCGCTGGTCCGCTGGCGGTGATCGAGAATTCGCTGACGTTGGGTTCGTGTTGCTGGAACACCAGCGGCTTCATCTTGCGCGGATTCCGGAACTTCGACGGACCGCGCAACGGGCCACAGCTTTCTACTCCGGCCACAGCCATCACGCACACCATCAGCGTCAACGTGAACCGCCACCGATACCTGGACGCCACCGCAACAACGCCACCGCCGCCGTCGCCGTTCCTCATATCCGGCTGCCAGACACCGCATTACCGCGGCCTTTACTCATACAGCAATCGGTTTCTACATGTTATTAAATCCACGTGAAACAAAATTGATGGATAGTTTTCGTAAGAAATGTAAAATAAAGATTATATTTTATATACATATATATGTGTAAATATTATACCGTAAAAAAAACCAATTGTAACCATATACAGGGTACTTTACTGACCACCATATTGTAAATCATGTAATATGTATACGATTTGACCGAACAATGCATACAAATACATTTTACACTCACAAAATATTAATCTAATAAATTGATTCGATCGCATTTTTGTACTTAGATTTCATTATAAATGAATGAAAAAATGTTTTTACTAAAGATAAAAAAAAAAATTAACTTGCGCTATAAACTTGATGAATATAATATGATAATTTAAGAGTATTAAAATATTATTAAGCATATTTTATGCTAATATGATTTTGAAAAATATTTAATGATATATTATACTATTATACCTAATAATAATATAGTTTTATCTATGCTATATAACAAGTGTTTCAAAAAAATATCATAAATGTAAAATTTTATATCCAATACCATTCCAGTATTTCATGTATAGTTTCCCTAATATTAAATGCAAGCAACTTCTTCAAACACATGAACTCATAACTTTATGAATTTTTTCACGAATTTTATAAATTAAAATAGTGTGAACGAAAAATGTAAAGAAATTCAACAATTATATTATAAATAAATATAATTTTATTAGCCTTTAATGATTTTTATAAAAAAAATTATTTATAAGTATAAAAAATAAATATAAAATCTATAACCAAAAACTGTTTTATAGTGTAATAAGCAAAATCCCTAGCCATACGAATAAAAAAAAAAAAAAAAATAAGCAAAATTATAAAATATTATATCGAGCCTTCAAAACTTGAATCAATTTATATACATAATTCATAATAAACTTTTTTTCTCAATAATTAAAAATTTATGTGGTACAATTTATTTTAATAATTACAATACAAAGACATAATTATGGATAATTCTTACATTTTTTTTTTTAATTATAAATTACAATTTATAAAGGTACCTATCTAAGAATTAAAACAGCAAATTATCCGTTACTTTTTGACAAACCTCCTAAATTAACTAAGTAAATAAATCTACATTAAGTATAAATTAATCCAAAATATTTAACGTAAATCAAAATATAGTTATATATAAAGTATAGAAATTTCTTTGCTTTCAAAATATATAATGTATTATAATGATTCTTTTTTTTATGACATACCTAATAATTTTTTTTTCAATTAATAAGGTTATAAGAATTTAAGTACTAAAGTACATTGTTGATCAAAATATTTAAAATAGTTTAATAATAATAAAGACATAATAGTCTAATTATACTTGACGTAAAATCAATTAAAAAAGAATATTAATAGTTTAAAATATGAGTCTAGGCTTTATTTATTATCCATAAGTATTATTAATATAAATTATAAAAATTAATAAATACTTTAATATTTTATTATAAAAAAATCCCATGATAAAAAAATACAAGCAGTAACAGTTTGCCTATTGACTATGAAGTATAAATAACTAGGTACCTAAAAAAAAGTAAAAAAAAATATACTAAAACGGGATTTTATTGAGAATTTTATTTATGATAAAAAAAACTGTTCCCGCTGAGAAGGTTCTTTAAATCCCTTAAACAAATTTAAAAGTATGGTTTTATACTGAATTCTTTACAATTATATGTTCTTAAGTATAATAATAAAATACCATGGATCATTTTATTTGAAACGGTCAAGGTCTAGTATATTTTTAATATCTAGACGTATTATTCTTTGATGTAAAAACTTATAATATATTTTTGGGAAATTGAGATAAAGCTTATAATTATCTAAAAGATATTTTTTTTATTATACTATCATAATTGATTACTAATGTGATCTGTCATTAAAATTAATAACTATAAATTATGCTATTCATAATTGGCTGAAAATAATAATCTATTTTATTTGATCTAATTATAAAACAACAAAATTTAAATTATATTTTAGAGATACCACATTATAAATGAATAGGTAATTGGTTTAGAACTACTGTTAGGCTTTATCAAACTATTAATATAATTGAGATGACTGATAATATATTTTAGGAATCATTTTATTAATTTATAATTTTATAATTATATGATTGTTAAATAAATATTTTCTTAAAGACTTAATATTAATTAATTATATTGAATTTGATTTCATATTATAGTTATTAAAAATCAATCATTTTTTAATTTTGAATAGTTTTGTGTATTTTAACTGAAATTTATTTATTTTAACTTATTTTATATGTAATAGAGTGTACATTATATACAATAATTTTTATAATTTTAATATTTTTTTTGGTCTATATTTGTCACTTTTGAGCATATAAACTATATACATTTTACTTAATAAATTCACTTACCTTGTGAATGCTGATTGAAATTAAATAAATATCAATTATAGGGTAGAAAAATAATAGTCCTCGTGATTTTCCTCACTATACAATCGCGCGTTCAGCGACGAGCCGCTACCGCACGTTACACGATGTAAATATAAGTAAAAATATAAAAACGAATTAAAACTATTCACAAAGTTAACGCACGAAGTCAAACTGATAATTTGAATATATATAAAAATTATACTTTTCAAACCGATGTTCGTGTAAAAATGGTCGAAAACTCAGAATTCGGTACACTGAAGTCGCGCCGAACCGATTCTGGTAACAAGGTCAACGAATTTGAACCAGACTCAGCGGTGTTGTTGTGGGTGTGAGCCACAACCGCTCTCCCACCCTGGTATACTGAGCTCCGCCTATTTCGTAGCCGCCTCCATGTACGCGTGGACTGCATCGTGTAAGCCGCCGGTACCCGACCGACGACGGACATCAAATCGTCCGACTGGCGCTCTTGCAGAGCCTTTTGTCCTCCTCAAAGACAAAGAGACAACGATCGTTGATCGCCACGGACTAAATATTATTATCAAAGAATCGATCGTTTCCGGATCAAGACATCTCGCGCCACCGCTTTAGTTGTGTCAAAATCCTTTTTGGTCATCTTAACGTAAAGGTAAAGGTGCAGTGTACTGCAAGATCATTATAAAGATAGGTATTATGTATACAATTATGTATACCTCTATACGGCTAAACATAATGTGAAAATAACAATACCTATTGTAATATAAATAGGTATACATTTCATAAAAAAAATCATTTCTACAACTTTTTTTATGTCAATAACTTTTTGACTGATTTTGGGTTGTGATGAAAACCCTTTTTCAAAAAATCAAATGGATGCTTCGTTGATCACATTATTCTAATAGTAAATATAGGTACAAGTGTACCTATCATATACAAATAAAAGATTTATTCTGTCTCTTTTCTTTTTAGTGCATGTCACATGACATTGATTTTTGACGTTTCCTGTTGCAATGTGTTTGCAAAACTATTACCTGTCAATAACACATACCTGCCAAAATGTGTTTTCAGAACTAATCGGGTGAGTTTATTATAGTCGCGTGTAACAATAAAATATCAAAGACATAAGTTGCACATTTGTAATACAAAAAAATATAAATATTTTGTTTAGTTAAGGTGATATATGATAGGGATCTTTTATAATGAAACACCAAATTTGTTTTATGATATTTTACACAAAATGTCGAACTAAATATTCAAATACTACTATATCTATAATAATAAGTGTATTATTTACTATAATTTAAACAACAGATACTTTAATTATTGTTATAAAAACATAAATATAATTTTTTTAAAGACAAATTGTAATAGAATATACCATACAAATTAAATAGATAAATAATGTATGTATTTTTAAATTATATTAAATTAATCTATAAGCGTTTAATTATTTTTCTTTGGAATTCCAAATAATTTTAAAAATATTATTAAAAAATGTAACAATGTACCATTAAAAATATGTAGAAAACTATATTTCCAATAGATATTTCTATAAACTTTAATTATTACAACCTGTGGTCATATAATTTACAAGTTAAACAAATATGAAACACTTTTTAAAAAAGGATGCTTATCTACGTCATTTGTCGATTTAAACTAAAACATGAATTAAACTAGAGCAGTATAGTAAATAAATGTTAATAACAGGGCCGGATTAAACACAGAGCCTGGGCTCCAAGCCCCATAATAATTAAGGACCCAAATTCCCACCCTAACTTCTAATTTCTAATAGTTATATAATTAGAAAAATGTAAATATCTTATATAATTACAAGCATTTGTATGGGGTAGTAAACTCAGAATATAATATCTACCTCACGAATTTAGGTAGTTTAGAACCTGAAGAAAAAGGACTTAAAATCGATTAAGATAAGTATTCGTATAAATACATTAATGAACATGTATTTATGAACATCTGATTGTTTTGATTACCGACAACATATGTCATCTATGCATATTATAATGCCTATATATATATATATATCAAATTTTATTATATAAAATAATTATAAAATTGTAAGATTTACTAAAATACATTAAATTTTTAATTTATCACCCAATCCAGTATTAATATATTATTGTATTTTTGAAAATTTAACAAAATAACTTCATATCTACAAGTGTGATAACTAATAATAAACTTAAGATTAAGATCTTCAAAAATTTGATAATCGTTTTTAAATGTATATGGGTACATTATTAATTTTTTTGTTTTTTAATAAGATATACATACATGGTACATGTTTTTATTTTTTTTATTTTATATAATTAACTATATTAAATAACTATTGAATAGTGTGGCTTCAAATAATAAAAATTATTATAATAAGGTTAAAATAAATTATATTAGTTTAAACACCAAGTTCGTGTACAATACACACAATCTACTGTAACATATACGGTTTATATACCATTATTTACCAAGTATACACCAGATATTTCACCATTATATACTTATGCTTTAATCATCGTCTTACATAGCATATAATATAAATCTATAAAAATGTTAAATTTTTTATACTCATTTAGACACAAATATATATACTATCTACATATTATAATATCTTATTTGATAATAGGGATATATATATATAGCCATACTGGATTAAATATGTTTATTGAAAAGGGCGAGTCTGTTTTCGACCAAAACCGTACCCTTCCCTTTTCGGCAGATTCACTTTTCGACCAAATTTAAAATAGATCGATTCAGTTAACCAAAACAAAAATTTATATAATAAATTTATGATATACAGTGTTTGATTATGATGGAAACTACTATAATATATTAATGACGATTCAGAGTTTTACTCGCGTAACGAAGTTTTAGGTTCACATACAATGCATAATCTCATTTGCAACAGTAACAAGGTTTTTACAAAAACTAGATAAGGCTTAGACTATATTTCTCTCTGGGGCGAGCCTTAACATTTTTTAAATTAAAGTTCTGATTTTTCGAAAAAAAAATAAATGCAAACAATTTTCATCACAATAAGAGATCAAAACTAGATCAAAATAATGTTCTCTTTTATATTAATATTTTAATAATTATTGACAAAAATTGTACATTATTATTTTATTATTTTAAATTTATTATATAAATTTTTGTTTTGATTGAAAAGGGAATCGGCCTATTTTAAATTTGGTTGAAAAGTGAATCGGCCGAAAAGGGAAGGGTACGTTTTCGGTCAAAAAACGGCCATGTCCATTAAAAACATACGTATGCAAAAAGTGTAAAAAAAAAACAAAATTTAGGTTTTACAGTGAACTATATAAAAAAAGTTATATGTTATTTATGACGACAGGTTACTTCCGAATTATAAATTGTACCGTGATGTTTTAAGATATTTTTTGTTACAATGTATAGTTAATATTATTTTCTTACCACCTTGTGTATAGAGGTGTAGTATAAAACGAATAGGTAACTAAACGTAATTTTAATGTTGAAACTACTACCATGTATTCGTAAATGTCGTTTAGGAACTTTTTGCATTATGTCAAACATCAAATAATCCAAGGTTTACATAATAATAAGACGTATAATCAAATATATAAATTTAAAATTAGCATAAAATAAATGAAAACGAAATACGATAAACAATTGATCGGAACTCACCCTTACTTATGAAACTAACAAATCAATATATTGATAGACCGTTACGAGTAAATAGATGAAAAATAGTTTATTTACTCGATATAAAATGTATATGTAAATAAAATATATTGTAGAACTGCATTAGTATATAGCTTCTGAGTGTACATACTATGAAAAATAATTACAATAAAAGTAATTTATTAAAATATAGTGTCGACTACTCAATGAATAATAAATGTAATATGGTTGATGTTTTGTTGGAATCAAAAACTGTTTTCCAATCTAAATATTTTCTAAATCCATAAATGTCTCTTGAAAATGATCCATTACCGTTACATTATCTGTTCCAAGATACTGAACATTAAAAAATAAAAAAAAAAACTATCGAGAAATATTTAAAACATTTTATAATTTTACGGATAATATAACGGGAACGTTCTCCGGATCTACCACCGTGACCGTTAATATTACCCGTCGAATAATCCATAAAATTATATAAATACAATAAACTTGTATACGGGTGCGTTAAAAAGTTATGCACGTTCGATTTCATGTAGTGGTGCATTTGGATATCGTTCTTCACATTCGCAAACCTACACATTGTTAGATATTGCTGCACGTTGGTCTGTTCTACTGTATTTCGGGCGGTATCCCAAAGACACATATCGCAGTGTTTTCCGCAAAAACAGACGCGCGATGTATACGGTCGTACACGGTCACGCGCGGCCAACGTACGTAACACGCGCACGCACGACGCGCATCGCACGAGATACGCGCCACACGACGTGTCTGTGTGAACAGAGATCGAACCCACCCGTGGGATACCGTGACGGCCGGTGTACACGCACAGGTGCCCGTTAATGTTTCCGCAACCCCACCACGTTCTACGCTTGTGTACGTGTACACAAATGTTCGTACATGTGAGCGTGTGTGCGCACGCGTGTACACGTACATTGTACACATACACAAGAAACGTCGGTTTCTCACTCGGGTAATATATTATCGCGCGGCGGCGCAGCATCACCGTCGGTCGCCGTGATCTTCTTCTTTGTACCGCGCGCGCGGTCTCTCGCGCACTCCTTCCTCCTCCGGGCGGTACAGGTGTGCCTGCCAGTATCATACCATTTGCCCATTGGAAGCTGGGCGTGGTCCAAAAGTTGCTCATCATCATTATCATCATCATCATCATCATCGTTCTTTCCGTCGTCGTCATTATCATTATCGTTGTCGTCGTCGTCATCGTCATCTTTAAAATATGATCATAAAAACCTCCGTCGCTTACAGTATAATGTAAAAGGAAGACTGTATAGCGACTCCAGGCACCTCTTTCTATAGATTTGTTTCGAACAAAAATTATACGGATTTTTTCATCTTAATAGACAGGAAAACTTACGATATTTTCACCTTTCTTCCTGCTCGACATTTTTTGAGTTCCCAGTTGTTTTCACGTTTATAAGAGAATACACTGCACGCATAGCCGTAATCCGAGTCAAAACTTTTGCCACATCAATAAAATAACTAGGAAAGAAGTTGCTCCTTGTTATATTTTTAAATTTACCGATCCAAATCCGTAATTTTTATAACGACAACTCGACATGATGACATTTTTTTTATGCAGATTTCACCGCAAACTTGTAATTTATAATTGACCGCAATCGACGTAGGACTTAATGTAAATTTTGAACTTAATTTATTATTTTCAGTTGCAGTAACTCGTATTTTCTTTAATTTTTTTGCTTCTAGCATGTGACTAATAATAATACAATATTAAATATATTGAAACAATATTAGATCGAACCAATCGTATTATACGTCCGCGTGAACTCGTGTTCAAGTACATTATTAATAATGTATATTTGTACTTGCACAATGACATTAATATGACAAAAATAAATGCTTACACAGAATGCCGATTTCATAATAATTTAAATTGTTTTATTTTATCCTTAAAATTATTTTTACCAATGTTGTAATCGTGTATGTAAGTAACTTTAGCTTTTAAAAAAAACATACTTATGACATAAAAACATAACGCGTTCTTATTTTCGTATCCCCGTGAAGGCCAAATCCGCATACAAAAGAACGTCAATGTCTTATGAAAGTAATTAATTTTACGAAGTTTTACTATTAAATAGTTATCATTTACTTGTAATTTATTAATTTATTATATTATAAACGATGAAATGATTACAAAAAATATATTTCTAACAGACATTTAGTTTTAATTCTATTAAAAACACAGTATTACAAACTACTCAGTCTGAAATAGCACGAACACTTTTTATCTGCACTTCTCATAACATCTTATTCTATGATCAAACTACTGCTAACCAATAGTAACTGCAGTTAACTACTACTAACTAATATTAATTGCAGTTAACTACTGTTAAATTATTTTAACTATAGTTAACTACTAATAATACATTTTAATAAATAAATTACATGGTAATTTATTTTATTTAAATAAGTTGTTCAACATAAATTATTAAATTAACTATATATTTAAAAATGGTTAGAGTATGGGGAGATGATAAAATGCGGAAAAATTAACCTTTTTCTACAATTTGATACGTAAACTGTGGCAAGAAAAAATTGAACATTACACAATCTGAGACAAAACCAATAAGATACATTATACAAACTGTGGCAATTTATTTTATATACCTACGATATTATATACTTTATAGTATGTAATATGTACCATACGTATAACGTTTAATTAATTATGTTGTGTTGCGTCTTACGTATAAAATGGTAAGGTAAATTCAAATGTATTTTTAAGTTTTAACAAAACATACTAAATATCGGTTCTTTTTCTTTTGATAATACTAGTTAATACCTATTTACTAGCCGTGGCGTTATGAACGACAGTTACCTAATGCAAAAGCTTAGTCCTAGAAACCTATCACGTGGCTGAGTATCCCTTGGCTATGTATTTATGAACATATTTTATTTAAATAATTAAATTAATTGCCTAATTGCAGGCATTGAAAAATAATTTAATATGCAAATATGGTAGATAAGTTAGGTATTTGAAAGGAATCAAGAAAAATCCTATAGATAATACAATTTAATAGTTATATACATATATATTATCTAGGAAAGCGAGGGTATGGGTCATTGTTTAAATACTTTGCTTAGGGTTTGAAATATGCTTGCCACGCCACTGCTTACAGTGTTAAATATCAGTAGAAGTAGTTAAAATTTCAATATGAAATTCAACATGATGAAATTTACAACAATGTTTAGCCATAGTGGGAAAGAGTTAATAGTGTTAAAAAATTTGAAATTTAAATTTAAATATGAATCAGGAATAAGTGGTAATAAAACATGGAAACACGCAAGACGCAACATAACATAATTAATTAAACAATATACGAACATAGGTACACATAGGTAGATATATATATATATATATGATTAATGTACTATATAGTATATAATACTAGTATGACTGTTTCATGTACTGCCGATCAATTTCGATAATATAATTATAAATAAGCACTCATTAATTACAAAAAAATACATCAAACCATACATTTAAGTTTCAAGAAAATAAATATCAGACTAATAATCTCTTTCATTAAATTTTCTCACATTGCATTGATATAATTTTATAATTCTAATTTAAACAACAGTTTTTCATTTAAATTATATAGTTAAAATTCAATATTTTATTAAATTGCAATATATATACAGAAGACCGTATACCCTTATTAACTCTACAATATTTTATTATAGTATCATACCATGTGTGGCCTCTACAGAACCAGATCTAAGTCTCAGGAGGTCGATGCAAATATCATTTAGAGGTCCTTTAAAAAAAATTGTTTGCTGCAAACTTAGCAGTTTAATATAATAGTACAATGAGTATTGAATTTCTATAAATATAATATTTCATTAATTACGGTTTAACTACATAATAGTTATTTTAAATACTTCTTTTAGTTTCATCACCACTTATAAAAGTTCCCAATACATTAAAATTTTAAAATCTTAAGAAACTGGCGATATTTTCGACTGGAACACTTCTGTATCGTGATTCATTGTCATAAGTATGATTATATACGTACATACATATAGCACACAATATAGCTGAGATTCAATTATCACTATAGCAGTCATCCTGCATAATAATACGTATATAATGGACCATTGAAGAATGCAGCAGGTGTAATGCGGGACAAAATGAAATTTGTATCCGTTTGGCTTCCATACTGCGTAACTAATTTCGGTCGGGAATCTTAAATAGTACAGATGAAAAGAAAAAGATAAAAAAGAAATGACGAAAAAAACAAACGATAACCATATCCTGCGACCCTATGTTTATGGAAGAGTTTCGAATTGTTTACAGACCACGGTCAAAATGTAAGTTATTGCAAAATTGATATAAGTAATTCAGAATAACAAATGGCATCGACTAAGTATAAATATTATTTTAGGTATCCACGCTTTTATAAATTAAATTGAATAATTTAAGCTATATTATGTATATTAAAGATCGATATTTTAATATATTATAGGTTATTTTTCGATTTCATGAAACATTAATATATTGAAAAGGCTGAAGTCCATGTATTTTGTTCTCTACTTTCCCAGTATAAATAATATATACTAAAAAGTGTGCAATAATTTAAAATTTTATTCATCAAGATAAGCATTCATCTTTATCATATATTATAGATATATTATGGAACATTAATTATAAATCTATTTATCTTTGTGAATTTATTAATACTGACTTATCGTTATACTTGCTAGTGATAAACTAAATCACAATTATTATTATTCAAAAATGTGGTGGTTAAATAAGACTCTTTGGTCCAAATCCTTCTTTCCTTACATGCTATATTATTTCTACCAAAAAAAACCAAAGAAAATAAATAGTATCTTAAATAATTAAAATACTATAAAAACTTGAAAAATTTCTTAAAAACAGCAACATATACCCTAAAAATGCATATAAAGTTAAATTTGTCATTAAATGCAAAAAATTCAAAATAAAAACTGCATTAAATTAATCTGTATCATTTGAAACACATATTCTTCTTTTTTTCTTTTTACGAACCTATGTGTTTGGGACATTAGAAAAAAAATGCATTTGTATCAAAAACCCAGTCTTAATTATAATGTAATGATAAATTTTAAATCGAATATTTTTATACGTACATACTTGCATAATGTGTAAAGGTACGTTTTCCCTGTAGCGTCCAAGTAAAGCATCAGACGCATTTTCATTAGGTATATACATTTTATATGTGGTCGTTTTTCTACTAGCATTTAACGCAGCGCATAAACATACTACTAATCTGAACTTGTGCCGCATTCAAACGTTCTGCATCTACAAATTAAAAATATCCAAAACATATGTGTTTTCATCAACCGAGGATAAAATATTAATTGAATTAGTTGAACTAAATAGGGAAATTTTTTATATTGCTCACATCCTAAACACAAAGATATTCATCAAAAAGTAAATATTTGGAAACATATTTCAGAAAAAATCAGTTTAAAAGGTTCGTACAAAATATATTAACACTAATTAATTAATTAAAAATGTAATTAAACAAAATATTTACTAATTATATCGCTAAATATATATATTATTTAAAGTAATTATATGTGTATTAGATTCAGTGTTGGGAATAGATAATGCAAAATTTATCTAGATAAAGATGAAAGATAATATGTCCAAATTTATTTAGATAAAGATAAAAGATAATTTCATTTTTATCTAGATAAAAAAAAAGATATTTTCAAAAAATGTTATTTTTTGGTCAATATTTCAAATTCCAATAATATCTATGAAAACTCAATTATAATCATTATTATCAATAGGTTCCTAGGTGTTAAATGTTTATTGTACTAATGTAGATAGTGTACCATTAAACAGTATTAATATATAATGTACAATATTTAATGATAGTTAGTCATTAAAATGTTACATAAAAAAAAAAAAAATGAAATTTGCTCTGTACGTATCAAGATGAATACAGAATACATAAAAAAATATTTTAAGTTAATAATATTATTTTCCATATAATATTAATTTCATGATTTTCATCATTCTATAAGTAGTTACGACTTTACGGGTTCCAAAAGAGAAGTAATGACTATTCAGCGTATGAGTGACATGTTTATATTAAAATCAAATACCTATTATATTTGGAACTACCGTGGAAAAATAAGAAATTAAGTTTAAAAATACCAAAAATATTTACCCGACATGAAAGTTTAAACAAAATGTCATACCAAGAAATAATAATTACTAGGGCTCGGAACTTAATGCACTTAAAAAAGTACAAATATGCTCTAAAAATATGCACTTATATTTAATTATTTTACACAACATTTTCATTAGCACAAATATTTTTTTAAATTTGTTAATAAAAAAAAAAACAAAGTAATAAAAGTTATTTTTATTTATATTTTTTAATCATAATTTAAACAAAAAAATAATAAAAAAAATCGCTTTAAAAATTAAAAATGTTCCTTGAGTAAAAAAATGCACTTCTGTCGAGTTATATTTATATACCTGAAATACATAACACAAATTACTAAATTAGAAAAACCACCAGGTACATGCCTAATTAAAAAGTATTTTAATTAATAATTAAAATGCATTGGATATAATTTTGTTCTTACCTTTCAAAGTGTTACATTGGACCACTAAACTTTTTTTAATGTTTTCAAAATTGAAAGATCGCCGATTATCCACGAGCAAAGTTTTGTACCTTGAAAAACTACGTTCAACATCAGTTGACGTAATCGGCGCATATTTGAAGTAAGTAATATCGTCACCGGTCAAATTATCAGGAAAACCTTCCATTGAACTTTCTTGTCCACTTAATATTTTTGAAATATTAAATATCGTTTTAAATCCACAATTTTTCTCCAATACATTATTGAATTTTTGAAATACCACAACACCAATTTCACCCTCACAGTCGTTTAATTTATTTTGGACATATTTAACTGCAGATAATGCTTCGGATAGTAAAATATATTGTGTTTCAAGTTTCGTAATATATTCCGGTATAAATCCAAAATTTGAATGTATGTATACTAAATTAGCTTCCATATTGGGATCTTGAATTAACTGTTGAGCTTCTTTAACAGAAATTGCATCTTCAGAATTTATACTTAGTAATACTCTACGTATATCCTTGTAATATTTGCAGTAATAGGAAGCTGCCATTATCCATGTGCCCCATCTAGTTAGTATTGGCTCTGGTGGAAGTGGTATGGCTGGTGCTTCACTTTTAAACACTAAAACACGTGAAGGCGCTTTTAAGAACACCTGTTTAACCCTGGAAATAAGTTTATCAACTTTCTTAAACTTTTCCCGTATACTTTCGGCTACTCTATGGATACCGTGTGCGAGACATGTTAAGTGTATCATTTTAGAGTACAGTGATTGAAGTATTCGCCCAGCTTTCACCATGTATGGTGTGGCATCGATCACAAACAATAGGACGTTATCATGACGAATTCCGTTTGGCCAGAGGATGAACATTGAATGATCAAAAAGTTTAACTATCGTTGAATTATTTGCTTTTTCCAAAACTTCGGTTGTTAGCAAATAAGTTTTTCCCGGTGCGTCAGTATTTAAAGTTCCTATTATAACGTTAGCTACATATCTGCCTTCAGAGTCTGTTGTTTCGTCGATAGACACCCATATTTTATTTTCTTTAATTTGTTCTCTTATATTTTTTATAGTTTCTTCGTATATGTCGTCGACATAAGTTTTGCGTAGTGTCGAGTCACTAGGAATTTCTCTTGACGTATACTTTTCTAACAATGATTTTAATTGAGGATTACTTATTTTGTAAAGTGGTATGTTTGCTGACAATAATGCTTTACACAAATCGTGTGAAAAAAAGACACTTTTTCGGAGTATTAGTTACTAGCTGTTGAATTTCAGAATTTGTTTTTTACGTTTTTTCTAATAATTGCTCGTTTATGTTTCTCAGTGTTAACGTGTTGAGTGACCACAAATTTTCGATCACTGTTAACTTTCACTTAACATAACTTACAGAATAAAATACTTCCGTCGGTTTTGAATATATCCGTACCATATTCCAAAACAAAACTATTCAAACGATTTTTCGCAGATTGTTTGGTTTTCGGCATTATGAAATAAAAATAATATAAGTAGGTAATTGAAACAAGAATGACGCATAGAACTACTAACTACAACAGATAACACGGACGTATAAGTCGGAACTGACAAAAATATCTAAGCGGTAGGTCTATAAATGCCATTAACAATAGTCAATAATCATTGAGTTATTTTCCTATAAAAGTATTTATAGAAAATCGTCGTACTTCGATAGCAGCTGTTTCTATTTTAGATTTGTATAATATTCTATTTTAGATAAAGCTATCTGTAGTTGTAATTTATGTATATATATTAATATTATATCATATTAACCGATAGCGGAAAAACAGTTTTTAATGTCAAATGGAAATTTGAATAATACGATACAAGAATATTTAGTAAGGTCTCTGAATATGAATGTATTTATTTTTTTATTTACAAATTTTCATGTTGAATCTCCTAATCTCCATAAATTATAAAATATGCTTTAAAAAATTGTAAAATTAAGAAATATGCTCTAAAATCTAAAAATCACTAAATATGCAAAAATATGCACTAAAAACTTTTGATATGTTTTTCGTAGTGTCTTGGAATGAATTTCTAGCTTGCTTAGCAATAAATCTAATGGTTCAAAAAAATCATGCAAATGCAACAACTTCCGAGCCCTATTAATTATTTATTAATAATACACGAATTATGATTATGAATACAAAATGTAAATGTATAAAAGAAAGTCAGGTTATTTACAGA